GGCCTGGCCTCTGCTGTCCCGGGCGGGCGACTGCAGGAAACTGGTGCTGCCCTTCTCTGCATGTTAGCAGGGGCTTGTGAACCCCTGGGGCTCCAGAGATCTATCCAATTTTAGATCTAACATTTCAGAGCCAGGAACTCCGCCCTGGTTGGAGCTACAGGCAGGACCTGACCCTAGAGATTTACCTCACTCATCAATCCCTCAACACACAGGCTGTCTGGACTCACTACTGAAAGCAAAGAAACAGAATCAGAGGAGGCGCCGGTCTCTATCTCCCTCAGCTGCCTTCAAATGAGTCTAAGGCCAAGCAAAGAAGCGTGAGGGACAGACTTATGGACACAGACCCGCGAGCGGGGGTTAGGAACCACTGGCCTTGCTCTAGGGACTGCTCCACAGGGGTGGAGATAGTCCTGTCTCTCCTGCACTCCCCCCTCGCTGTGTAGATAGTTGTCACACTCCCCTCCTCCCACCCCTATAACTATGTCTCCTTTGGGACTCAAGGGCACCGACTGTTGCCCGGTGCTCCCGGAGGCTGGACAAGATGTCCAAAAGGCCACGGGACCAGCATGGAAGGTGGGGGACACACCTTCTAACTCCTCTACTGCCTTCTTTGGCATCTTTTGCTTTGAGACTCTGCTCTTGCCACCCGTGACCGACCTCGTAAATTGGGGTTCGGTCCTTTTAGGAGCTCCTTGAGATGGTCAGCACTAACGAACCATCAGACCTGGGGATGGCTTCTGAAACACTGGTGCCCCACCAGACCCTCTTTCAGGAATTTGTGTCTACTCTCGGTATCTCTCCACTTTTTTTGGACTCTAGGGGCCTGGACTAGGGCTGAGAAAGGGATCCTGCCATTTGAGGAAAGAGGGAGACTGGAAACTTTCTCTTGAAGGCTGCAGCTCTCCTTGAAACCTGGAGAGGATGCCTGGAAGGTTTAGAAGTTGTAGCATTTAAAAGCCTGTTTTCTCACATTGGTAATCTCAGTGAACTTCAGAATCTGATGTGGAAGGAGCCATAATACCCGTTTTCCAGATAAGAAAACTGAGGCTCAAAGAGGTGACACAAAGCATTCTCACCCCCTAGCTGAGCATGCTGTGGCCCTTCCAAGAGGGGCCCTGGGCCCGACCTGCCCACCCCCACCCCCCAGTGTTGCCAGACACCTACATTCAAGCCAATGAGAAAAGAAAGCAAACAGCCCCACCCCCCAACCCGCTGGCAGACGGGGGGGGGGGGGGGGGGCGGGCACCCAAACCGTCGCAGCAGGGAGGTTCATCCAGGCCCCACTTGGCGCAACTCTGGCGCCTGCCTGGAAGCCACTTGCCCACCGTTGTCATCCAGGCCACCTTTTCAGGCCTCGCCCCCACACCCTCTTTCTCTTTCCCTGGTCCCTTCCCGCGATCCAAGCTCGGGGTTTAGGACAAGAGGGCCGACATCGGCCTCACTGCAGCCGGGGAGCCGGAGAGCTGTCAGGGCAACGCTGGTGGCCCGGCGGCGGCGGAGACTCCGTGCGCCCCGCACCCTGGGGTGGCTCTCGTGGGCGACTCGGAGAGGCCCTGCGCCTACAGAGCAGCGCCTGCGGTCGGAAAAGGCAGAGCGTGGTCCCAGCTCCCCTCCCAGGCAGCAGGGCGGCCTGAAGGCCCCTCATCCAGCGACCCCTGCCTCCCTAGCTCCTCCGGCGAGCGCGGACCCGGCTAGGGGACAGAAAAGTGCCCAGGGACTGGGAGCTTCCGAGGAGGCCCGCAGAGACGGCCTCCCCCCACCCAGCCCGGGTCCTGATGAGACCCACTCCTGGAGCCTGGGCCCCCGCGGCCTTTAATTACAGGCGGCGGCCAGGCTGCCCCCAGGACTCGTGGGAGGGAGCCCCTCCAGCTGGGGCCCCGCAGCTGCACCCCTGCCCACCACATTCTCATTCCGGGACTCCTAGCGCCCGGGGGTTGGACGCATCAGGCCCGGCTCCCGCGTTTGCGTCCCCTCCGCGTCCGAGCGCGGGCACCGGCTGTGCGCCCAGCATCCGCGCGGCCGGGTGGCCAGCCCCTGGCGGCAGGCGGAGTGGCGCCCGAGGGGACCTCCGGGGCGGGCCTGCGGGGCCTCCGCGCGGGGTCCGCCTGTCTCCCCCACCCGGGCGGGGACCCGGAGAGGCCGGAGCGCAGCCGCCCTCCGCTTAGCCGGCCGCCCGCGGCTCGCCGGGAGCAGCGCAACAAAGGGTGGCATCGCGGCGGCGCGGGCAGGGACCTCATTGGTTCAATATTAGCTTTTCATTCCAGTCTATTGTGCCCATCTGAGATAATATTGACTCTGAGGTGAGAGCCCACAGACGACAGAGCTTGCCTAACGCTCCGCGGCAGGGCGCTCGGAGGGAAGAGAATCAGAAATGGAAAGTTAAAGGGACGCAAACAGAAGCCGCCGGCGCGGCGGCGCGCCCCGGGACGGAGGACAAGCCCGCAGCCGGGCGCTCTCCGCGGCGCGCGCCCCGGGCCTCCGACCCGGGAGCCGGGGTTCGGGAGGCCGCGCCTGGGGCCCGGCCCGCCCTGGGGGAGCGCTGCGCCTTCCCACCAGAACCACCCTCGCTGAGCACACGCTCCCACCTCCCAGACGCTGGATTTTGAGGTGCCGCCTCTAGGTAACTGGAGAAAAACTGGCTCCCGTTCACCCGGCTTTGGCTTGCCAGGAAGCCAGCGTCGGCCTGTAAGATATTTTCCCCCTTTTAAAAGATGTAACTCTTCAGGGTAAACTTCTCAGTCAAAGCGTTTCTCCTATTTCTCCGGCATGAGAAGAGTAAACACTCGCAGCAATTATCATTACGCTGCATTACTTGGAAGTGCGCGGTTAATATCGAATTTCAAACTGTGCGTTTTGCTTTGCTTTGAATCGTCTCCTCGCAGCCCATCCACGGGTTTCTTAGCTGCCTTTCTGACCGCAGCTTTAAAGGGCCTCCGAAACGTCAAGTCTTGCATATAAAGATTCGTTTCAATTTCCAAATTGCCTCTAAATGCCGACATTCGAAAATGGCACTTTAAGTTGTCTTACGTGTCTGAGACAGAACACTTAGGTTGACGCTGGGGGGGGGGGGGACCGAATGCCAAGTGCTCAGGGCTTTCAGGCGACGTAAGGAAGGATGCCCTAGGGTCTCATTTACGAAATTTGTGTCGCCCCACCCCCCTCATTGGAGACTGACCTCTATAAGAGATAATCTGTTAACTCCATTACTCCAATAAGGAGCTAGTCATTTGAAATCTTTATGTCCACCCCAAGACACGTGGGCTGGTGGGGAACTGGGATGCAGCAAAGACTGGGGCTGGTGCCACCAGCATTCAGAACCATTGTACACCTGCCTCCTTCTCGGGCTTCCTGAGGCCTCTGGGATATTTCGGAGGAGGACATTCTGTTTAATCTATGTGACCTATCATGTATTATTGTATATGGTCCGTTTGTATTATGCATCATTCCTATTATTATATATAATATACAATCATGTGCTATATATTACATAATATTTAACATAACATGGATTATATGGTTTCATCATATTACATGCTGTTTGGCGTATATTTAACGTCTAGTTCTTATGTTACATTATATTACTTATTAACGTGTGTTTAATTACACAGTATATATTGTATGCTGTATACAGTTCTGGATGCATAGGTACATACACATACATGTATTATATATGTGTCGTGTGCGCAAAAGTACTTGGGGGAGCCTTATAATTTCCCTGAAAGTGTATATTTGATTGTTTAATGCAACGTTACAGAGTTCTGATCGAAACCACCTTGACGCCAGCTCTGTCTTTATGACAAATACCCGGGGGTCCAATTCTTGGCCCTGGGGACGGGAGGGAGGACCGGTCCCTCTCTGGAGCGCGCTTTTCCAAACGCCCCATTCCCCCGGGGGACGGAGGAGACTGTGGTTCTGGACCTTGCATTTGCGTGGTGGTGGCTGTTTTGGTTTTGAGAGAGGCCGTTTAGAGGCTCGGACGGTCCCTAACCTGATGTCATGAATTAAAAATGAATTTGGGGAGTGCGGCAGATGCTCAGCCGAGGCCTGGCGGAGGTTCGGGGCTGCAGACGCCGCAGCGGCGGGCTCGGGCCTCGCGGGGGGTGCGGCGGCGCGGGGCGCTCTGGGCTCCGGCGGGTCCCGGCCTCGGCCGCCTGCGGGCCGCCGCCCTCCGGGGCCCGCGCTCCGAGCAGCTGCCCGGGGCTCGAGCGCCCGCCCGGCCGGTGCTGCCCGCGGCCGCCGCTTCTTCTAGGGGCCCGAGTGAGCGGAGTCGCCAGCTCCCGCAGGACGGCGGCGGCGGCGTGGGCCGGGGAGCACCGGCTCGGGCATCTCACAGGTCGCACGCGTGCGCCCCTGGAAGAGGCAGGAACCGCACCCGAGACCCACTTCGTGGTGGGAGGGGGCGCGGACGAGAAAGGAAAGGAAGAGACTGTCGAAGCCAGGTATGGCCAAGGCAGCTTCAGACCTGAGAAACGCCCGAACTTTCCAGCTGGGGAAGCCGCAGGCGGCTCCTTCCACTTCCAGGCCTGGGAGTCCGGGAGAGGGGTTGGGTCGGGTTGGGGGGGTGGGGGGAGCAAGAAGACCTAGCGGCCAGGCCAGACGGAGGTTCCGAGGCTGACGGGGTGCGTGGGCCATTTCTTAAAAAGAGCCCCTACCCCCACCCCCACCCCCAATGGCTACCTGGTCTTGTGAAATAAAGCAGTGAAAGTTGTAATCACACACACACACACACACACACACACACACACACACACACAGCTCACCAAGAGATTTGGGTTTCCCATTTCCAACAAAAACCTGAGCTCTGCGAGACGGAGCCCAACTCTGATCTGGGTCCAATCCCCAGCCTTCCGGAAAGGTTTTGGTGGAAGTCACAGGGGTGGAAGATTGCAGGTTGGGGCCTCCCTGCTCTGTCCCTGAGGGGGCTCCTAGGACAGAGCTGGGGACCCGGAGAGCGTCTTCGTGTTGCTAAAAATAAAACAACCGACCTTCCCCCTCCCCAGTGGTTGCAGTCTCCAGGCCTGGCTGCATGGCGAGGCGTCTGAACACGCAGGGGATGCCAAGCCTTCCAGATGAAGAGTGGATCACAGTGCCAACCATGTGGACGTGGATCTCCCCCAGATGGGCTTCAGCACATCTGGCCCATCTGTAGCATTTTCTCCATCCAGGTGATCCATCTTGCCTCTGCCCAGCGTGGTGGAAAACTTGATTCTCATTGTGTAAGCATGAGAGTTCCATATTTCTGCCCCTTGCTCTGAGCCCCGCTGACTCTGATTCAAGGGGCAGCTGCTCAGGTGTGCTGGGAACAAGATAGGGTCTATTTCGTTGCTCATTTGCTGCGGGGCATCTTGCATGAGAGACAGTCCACTTCTATCACTGATGGCACCTGTATAGATGCTGTGCTACGCATCCATTACAAGGTTCTATCTTATCCAGTCTTCTCAGAAATTCATGGAAGTATCAGTCTATTCCCACTCTCCAGATGTGAAAACTGAGACTTCGAAAGAAAGGGATTCACCCCCAAGATCTCTCTCTCTCTCTCTCTCTCTCTCTCTCTCTCTCTCTCTCTCACACACACACACACACACACACACACACACACACACACAGCTAGTAAATGAAGGGGTTTGGATTCTAACCCAGGGCTGTGTGATTCCAACAACTTGTCCTCCTCCCCCTAGCCCCTGCATCCTAACATAATGCTCCTCTTCTCCCCAGTGAGGAAATCAGGATAACACTTTGTGAGAAAAGGGATAACACTTTGCTCTGAGTCCCCCAGTAAGTCAATTATCACAAAATACAGATCCTAGATCCCACATTCTCTCCGGAGCATTTATTCCAGATCTGGAACAGACAAGAGAGATGGCATATGGGTAGCATATATGGCTTGCAGACAGCCTGCTCACACCTTGCTTCAGCCACCTTCCCACATGCCCAGCAAGGTGGATACTGCTGTTACTAGCCAGTTAGAGAGGCTCAGCAAAGTTGAACAACGTGTTCACTGCCCAGGCAGTTCACGCAGAGCCCTGGCACTGGCCCGGGCCAGCCCATTCCAAGCCTCCCAGCTCCGCACACCACATATGGGACCATTTAACCAACAGAGTCAGGCCTTGCATTCTGTTGTGAAATTGCTAGGTTGTTTTCTCTTTAAGTGTTCCTGCAAATATTATTTGGGGGATTCAAAACTTTCTCTTCATTTATGCCTCTCTTGTACTCATTCCTTCTCCATGTGTGTACCCGGCTGTGTCACAGAGCCATCAAAGAAACAAAACAGGGAATTGCTTCTTGTCTGTGTTCAATGATATTCAGAGACGACCGTGTATAGATTTTACCTACACTTATATATTTTGCTCTATAATCATTTGCCCTATGCTCATCACTAAAGCTCAGATGTATCATAAAAATTCAAGTTTACGTATGTGTGTATTTTTCATGATTTTAATGGAATTTTTAAACCTTGCTTTAGACAGTGTTTCCTATTTGCTAAGATCCAAAGGGAAGAGTTTACAGGAGGAATCCTTTGGTCAAATGATTCCGTATCCAAAAGCATAACCAAGAATCCATACAGGAAATTACTTGGGAGGTCTCTAACCTGGAGGGGATGTACCAAGTACCCTGCCACCAGGAAGAGACTTGCCAGGGAATGGCATAAGCCTTCAGACAGCCAGGGTTCCATCTCCATGCCCATCTGAACCTCACTTCTGCACTTCTCCAGGAGCCATGTCCTTCCATTCCATGGAAAAGCTTTGTCTCATTATTTATTATAAAATTATATGAATATTTTCATACAAGACCAGAATGTGTGAAGAAGTAAATAACAGCACTTGAATTTCCCCTAGCCAGAGGCCACCACTGTCAAACATTTGGGGATGTTAACTTTTGACACCTTGAAAAAGAAAAGAAATTTGATTATGTCTACACATTTTCATTATTGCTGTTCCAGTAAATAAAGAAAGAAAAGAAACATGCCATGTAGTTCTGTTTTTATGAAATGCATAACTGGATATAGAAGTCAGAACAGTGGTTGCCTCTGGCAGAGGTCTGGGTACAAAGAGGCACAAGGAAACTTTGAGGGCTGTTAGATAGGTCCTCTTTTTTGACTTGGGTGATGGTAATATGTATGTATGTATATAATTGCCAGAACTCATTGAACTTAAGACTTGTGGACTTTACTATAGAATTTTATACCTCAATAAAGGAAAAGGAAAGAAAAGGAAGAATCTTGGGCAAATATCATAGCCAAAGACCAAGCTGGGGAGGTAAAAGAAAAAAAAAAGCATAAGATGCTCAGCTAAGACATACCATACACAGAACCTGGACCTTTACAGAAAGGAATACCAGACTTGGCCCCATAAAGCAGCCGCCCCCAGCAGCCTCCTTTTGCAGGCCCACGGCTAAATCCAAGAGGACTGGATCCTTAAGCAATCTTAAGATCTTGCTGGGACCCACCATCTACCAGACTCTCTCTTCTTTGATGCTGTTTCTCCTCCATGTTTGTAGTCAGGAACTGCATTTCCTGATAGAGGCGTGGTGTCCCTTGGATCCTAACAAGAATCTGTGCTGAGTCAGGAAGGAAGCTGGAAGGCCTAAAGTTTCAAATAGATTATGTTCCAAAAGTTTCTCTCTTCATCACTGTCTAGGACTCAGAACGTTGTCCCCCACAGCAACAGTGTTAAAAATGGTAAACAATAGTCAAGGTTTCAAGTTTCTCCTCCCCTCAAAAATCTATTGGATGCCTACTCCTAAGATAAAGGATTGTAGGCTTGGTAGGAATAGAAGTGTGTTGAATTGTACTGGTTGTACTGCTATGAAAAGCAAATTCCTTCCCCCTCTCCCCACCAAAATGTGCCTGCTCTCTGCCAGACACTGTGTTAGCATTTGGGATTCAAAAATGAAAAATCTCATGATCTTTCCCCTCAAGCAGCTCACTGTCTAGTAGAGGAAGATGACCTTGTAAATAAATAAGATTCATAGATGTGGTGACAGAGGTTGTCATAATTAAAGAAAACAAAAATAGAAGTGAATGCTAGTTGGCAGAGGAGAACACATTTTGAAGCGGTGTGAGTTGTTGGGACAAGGAATTAGATGAAGCTCTGTAGGGACACCCTTCAGGTCCTGGGGCACTTTGAAGGGCTGTGGTCCTAGATCTGATTCTACTTCAAAATATATGTCTTTCCTTCTCTTGGCAGAGCATGACCGTTGGACCTCTCAGTCATGTTTGGGGTTGCTTGGTTTTGACTTTCAAATTAGAAAGGAGCAGAGGTGGGCAATACTTAATATTCCAAAGAGAAAAGGAATGGAAATTTAGAAAATGTGTAAACCTCGGAAAAGGATTGTCACAGGTAAAACTTGACCCAGTGGTGAAAGAGGTAAAAGCATCAACCCCAACACAGGGGAAGAAAGAAAGGCCATTCCCCATACCAGCCACCAGGGGGTGAAGTTGGGCCAGGATAGCTTGGTTGCTGTATTGAAAACAAAGTGGGTTAGTAGACTGTGCCCACAGATGTATGGCACCACTTAAAATCACATATTTAGGGGCACCTGGATGGCTCAGTCGGTTAAACATCTGCCTTCAACTCAGGTCACAATCCCAGTGTCCTGTGATCAAGCCCCACATGGGGCTCCCTGCTCAGCAAAACCTGCTTCTCCCTCAAAAATCAATCAATCAATCAATCAATCATGAATTTATAGTATTTGGGAATCATTTAGTCATTCAATCAATATAGCGCATTTACCATTTATAAGGAAATTTGCACCTGACCAGCAATTAACAGGGCTTAAACAATTTAGTGGATCATGATTCTTGCTCTCAAAGATTATTTGGGAAACTAGATAACTAGTATTTAGTGTGCCCAGATATAAAATCCCCTATGTTTTTTTCCTCCTGATGCTGTTCAATCACCAAGTTGGGGGTAACAACAATGTAGGATCTACTGACTTCACACAATTGTTCCAAGGACAGAATGTGATTAGGAAGCAAACATGCCTCTGTAAAGTTCCAGCATTAGACCAGCATTAATGTTAAAATGGTTTGCAGCTATGTCCTCTTCTTGCTGGTCAACTTTTCGTCCAACAAATATATACTGTGCACGGCTACCGAGCAAGCACGGGGATGAGCGCTGAGGACATAGAAGTAAAGAAAATACAAAATCTCTGCCCTCGTGGAGCTGACATTCCCCAATAGGACAATCTGCTGACATGAATAAAAAGATTCATCAGCCACGTGATAGAGGCAGAAAGCTTAAGGCTGAACAAAGCTATATATATATATATATATATATATATATATATATATATATATATATATTCACTATGTAGGATATTGAAAAATTGGAAACAACCCACGTGTCCTTCAGTGGAGGACTAGTAAAAAATTGTGTTGCTTCCATACTACAGAAAATCATGTTACCATTAAAAAGATGGGAGTAGCTATCTATATGTAGTATTATAAGAACATCTCCAAGACCTGTTACAGGGGGATAAAGCACATTCCAGAACAATACATAATATGATCCCATTAATGTTTTAAAAAACACTTACCTAATATACAGTTACATGTATATACTTAAATGAGATCTTAGAGAAAAATTCTGGAAAGATACACGAGTGACAACAGTGTTACTTCAAGGGAGGAAAGGGGAACGGGTGGAGGAATGCTGTGCACCAGGCAGGATTACTGACTCCAATGTATGTATACAACTATACAATGTATACTTCTTGATGGTTTCGCTTCTGACAGTGAAAGTACATTGGTGTATGGCCTGTGTAATTAAATAAAGTGTATGCATGTGAGTACAACTGAGTTACAGCAATATGACTATGGATGACAATTGTTGCTCTTTTAATCTCCTTTAATGTTGTTTTAATATGTCTATAGAGAGATATATACACGTAGATGAGATGATGCCAAAACATAAAAGGTGGAATTAAAACATGGTGCCCTGGCTCAGAAATCTTGCCTCTCCCCACCCCACCTGCAGTTTATAGTGAAACCTTTTTTTAAGAGCATCATGGGATGTTGGATAAAAATCCTTGATCTCCTAGTTCTGAGGCACATGTAATTATTTCACAGGTAAGTAGCCTCAAGGATCTTTTCGATAGATATGACTTCATTATGAGAGCATCATGCCTCTCCCAGCAGTAATTGAGCTTTGGCTGGAGCCAATGTGGGGGTTCTGGTATGTGCTAGGTGACTCCCAATCAGGTTCCCCTGGCTCCCAACCCAAGCCAAGTGAGCTGGCCTTGGCTTTGGCTGATCTCTGAAAATCATCTCTTTCATCCTGCCCAGATCTCCTCCATTGCTTCCCTCTCCTTCTCTCTCTGGGATTGTCGGCAAATCTTCTGGGTTCCAATGGAGGGAGCTGGCCTGCGTAGCCTATAGTGTCATTTATACTCCCAAACTTCTCATTTCTACTGTGGCAGATTGTTACAAGAGCCCACATTCATTCACATGCACCTGCCATGTGCTGAGGACAAACAGAAGCAGAAAAGCAAGGTCTCTGATTTTAAGGGGCTGCTCTTGGTGGAGTCAAATTCTTGGGGAAGTTGAAGCCAATGAAACTACTAGAAAGGTGGGCTCAGAATAGCTCTCTGGATACCCTCCTGCCATTCTCTGCAGCCTCTGGCTCTATGTCTCTTGCACAGAGCTGACCTCTGCTCCTCCAACCCCTTTGTTCTGAATGTAAGCTCGTAGTGTCCCTTAGCCATGTGGCATTGCTTCAAGTCCCAGAGACTGGCCCACACCCATGCTATATTGGGGGAAGAAGAGTCTCAGGGTGGGGACAGGGATAGCCTGAGGTCAGGGTGAGATCCAAAAACCTGGAGTGGGGACCCAGGATCTTACCAATCTACTGACTCAGCAAACCTTTCCTGAGCACTTGCTGTATGGCAGGCATTATTCTAGATTGATGTAGCACAAGTGGGAACCAATGCCTCTTGGGGCTCCCAGACCAGGTTCTGGTGGTTAGAAGCCTTTCCTGGGCAGGATGATAACCTCTGTTGGAGAATGTTCAAATCTGTGTGCTTCTCCTGGGCCCCTTAAGCAGTCAACTCAACCAGTCTTAGCTGCCAAGGAGAAAAATGCTGGCAGAGGAGACCCAGGTATGCTAGGCACTGGGGTAGGGGCTGGGGCCAGAAGTCATCCTAGACCGCCCAGAAAACTCCACAGTGTCCATGGTCAAGGCTAATCTCCAGCAAGGGGAACTTGCTTCCAGGCACCGAGGGTGGGTGGATGTTTTTCCAGAAGAGAAGCAGCAGTGTGGCAGGAGCAGGGAATGAAGGCCAAGCTGACCCAACCTCTCATTCCTTCTTCCCCACCTCCCGGCTGTGTGACCTGGCCAGTGGCTCAGCCTCCTGAGTCTCGGTGGTTTCCTCTGTAAAATGGGAATAACAGTCCGCTGATTCTTCTTTCAGGAGATGACTCTGGAAATCAAATGAGGTAATCGATGGAAAAGCACATTATAAAGCACTTTACGGAACAAGCTGACATCATGGACTTTGAGGCCCACCTTCACCACCCCACCAGGAATGCCCTGTGCCACCAGCTTTGTGAGGTTTCCCCGTATGCAAATCCAGGAGCATTCGTGTGGGTGGCAGAAGGAATCCCTAGCCGGCTCACCACTCCTCAGCTCAGGGGGTCCTTCTATTTTTTTTAATAATAAATTTAGTTTTTATTGGTGTTCAATTTGCCAACATACAGAATAACACCCAGTGTTCATCCCGTCAAGTGCCCCCCTCAGTGCCTGTCACCCATTCACCCCCACCCCCCGCCCTCCTCCCCTTCCACCACCCCTAGTTCATTTCCCAGAGTTAGGAGTCTTCATGTTCTGTCTCCCTTTCTGATATTTCCTACCCATTTCTTCTCCCTTCCCTTCTTTTCCCTTTCACTATTATTTATATTCCCCAAATGAATGAGAACATATAATGTTTGTCCTTCTCCGATTGACTTACTTCACTCAGCATAATACCC